CTGCCATGGTGTCCTCCCCAGCGAACTCTTGGATGTGTTTCGGGCCGTAGATGCACCGAGGAAGCAGTGTCGATGCATATATCAGCTTAGGAGTGTAAGCGGCTACCGTACAAGGATCTCTCCCTTTATCGTTCCCTTCAGTTTCTTAGTAACGACACTTCTCTGACAGAGGTCATGTCCAAGTGGGTTATCTCTGTAAGGAATGACCAGCTCCTCATGTCGTGATCATGCTGACCCCTTAGGTGCTCTCCATTGCTATACAGTGGTGCTATTCGATAGTGTATTGGCTCTCTTACTGGCTCAAATTTTGGGTATCTTTGCTGGTCATGCTCATACCACAACTTTCTCAACTCCTAGACTTCCTCCAAGACGTCATAGAAACATTCATTTTGGAATGGATCATATCAGGCGGACCGGTTGAAGGTAATCGACTTTCCCTACTGCGTATTTGCTCTCCACTTCTTCCGCATCATCAGATACCGAGGCCTACCGACCAGGGGTCCTTCTTGTCACCTTGGACCCCGGAAATTCCCCCCTTGCCCGCAGCTTGCGCGAGACATCGTTGAGGAAGAGGGTTCATCTGCGGGGAATATCCGGGCCATCGACCTCCCGCTTACAGCCGTGTATGGATGGTAGTGTGGTGCTTTGTTATTGCCAAGCTTGTGGAGTATCACATTCCTCTCAGAGATTGACTTAATCATGGTTGATTGTATGTATAACCCGGCGGCCCTTGAGGATCCCATCAAGTTACCCTCGACCGTTGCCAAGGCCGTGCGTTGCAAGTTTGTGATGTCCATCATGCAGGAGTTCATCGGGTAAGCCCACCTCTCAGAACAGTGCGTTGGCTTGATACCGGGTCCATCTCGGGCTAGGTGTTGAGTATACACTCATTATCTCCTCGATTTGCCCCACTTCATCTATTTAGTATATTATACTCTTCAGGTTAGCATCGGCATCACTTCAGCCATCCACGGCAGTGCCACGTGTGATGTTCATCTGTGATGATGAGTCAGCTTTGTTCGTCTCCGCTGGTCTCGTCCTCGTCAGGGCTGCTCTAGGCCCCCATGTCGAGTTGGAATGCTGCACTTATAATACCCTCAAGCAAAGATTGTAAGAAGTGATAGTGTCATGTTTCAAGACTAGTACGTATACATGGTAGACCATTGCCGTATTCTTACAAGCGTGTTGCGAGGCGTGTTCGAGTAGAGAGACGGCGGAGCGGTGATAATAGAACACCGAAATGCGAGTTGGAGTATGAGAGGACATGGACTACTGATAGCCTGTCTGGGTAGGCAAGTTGTCTTCATGGGAGGATCCTCATCGGTTGTTGTTGACGCTCTGGGCAAGAGCATCGGAGAGGAGTATAGGACTATGATTAGGACAGGGTTCGTAATATTGGTATTTACGTTGTGGTTTATGAATGTGTTCCTCACCAGTGTTTTTCATATCTCGGTGAAACTCTAATGTAATATAGATTTAAATATGTACTATAATATAACACTAAATTTAATCTCGATGTAACTATGGGCGAACTCGTAGCAGGGTTCTTTGTTCCTCAGACGAGATACTCCGACGTCCCTGGCCGCCTCCCTAGCTATGGAAACTGCTTTAACGCTCCCAGGAGATGCACTAGAAAATCATATCCAAGAGGAGCTGCCGACTCTACGAATTCGCAGCAGAAGCGAGGTCACTTCTGAAAGAGGGCGAAAGGAAACGAGCAGTCTATCTAGTCCGAGTACTTCCTCATCATCTCCTAATCGTGACGATTTAACCCAGCTATAATCGTTGAAAAACAATGAACCGGCAACGCGGATGTGGATTCCTGTGTGTGCGGGAACTCTATATGCGCAGGTTCAAAACTTGGCAGCGGCATCTCCTATTGACAGTATCGACTTTGGTTTTTGAGTTTCCCTATCAGCGAGCGTCGCTCCACAGGCGTGGCTCATTGTGATCTAACATTACATCTCGTCTGTGAATTAGTATTAAATTCTCTTGCGTTGGGTCGGTGGTTGAGGTCGGGTTTGCCTGTCCTTCAACAAGTGGGTTTTAGTTCCTCTTTGACTCGGCCCTAATGAGCCAAGTAGACCGAACGCCTTCAGTGAGCGATGATTCTTCAGATAAGAAGGTCATTAGTGATGTTAGTGAAGACTCTCTTGATGGGAAGTGCTCTAACCTCCGGTCCATTTTGAATATCATTCTCACAGCTATAGGTAATACGGACTAGTGGTGTAGAGGTTAGGAGTGTTGTTTAGTTTGCGGATGGACGTGAGTTCTATTCCTGGTATCAACACATTTTATCCCTCGTGGTTTCCTCCCTTCGACGGCATAGGAACAGCGCTCTTCCTGTCAGGTCTGGGTGTCATCACCCTTCCGACTGTCATGGCCAAGTGTGGCTGGATCGGCGGTGTTATTGTCCTCTTCTTCGGTGCTGCCCTGTCGGACTATATGGTCTGCAACCTCTACAAAGCCGTCACGAATCACCCCAAGGGAGATCCTATCAACACTTATGAGGAGCTCGGCAGAGTCTGCTTTGGTCGAGCTGGTCAGATCATCACAGCCCTTATTGTTCACATCACCATGATCGGAGTTTGTGCCACCCTCCTCCTCCTTCTAGGCCAGAATACCCAGAAGTTGGCTCCGGAGCTCTCAGTAACCGTATGGTGCGTCATCTGGGCAGCTATATGTGTTCCTTTATCGTGGATACGGTCCCTCAAGGACATGTCCTACGTCGCTATTGTAGGCCTTATGGGCATCATAGCTCTCTTCGTCATCATTGCCGCCAATGGTATTGTACACGGAGTGACCACAGACGAGGAGATTGAGTATGACCTCATCAGCCAGGATCCTCTCAACTGGGCTATCTCATTCGGCAATGCAGTACTGTCCTATCAGATCGCCAGTGCTACTCCCAACCTACTTCGCGAGATGAAGACGCCCTCGGCTTTCCCCAAGGTGGCTTCTATCAGTTTCTTCATTGTGTTCTCGATCTACGTTGGTGTTGGTGCCTGTGGGTATTACGGCTATGGTCGAAGTCTCGTAGAAGTACCCATCCTGGACAGCATAACCCCACCGGACCAGCCATTGGATGCCTGGGGATATGCCCTGGTTGTATCGATGCTGGCCCTAGCCTTCCCTCACTATCTAGTCCTGCTCATGCCCATCGCTGCGTCCCTCGAGGAGGCTGTGAAGATAGAGATAAAGAGCTCGTCAAAGCGCGACTTCATCAAGAGGGCTGTGGCTCGGACTATACTGGTCGCCATTACTCTCGTCATTGCCATCACAGTGCCCAGTGTGAATAACCTTATAAACCTTATGAGTGTCTTCACAGTGATCGCTATGGCAGCTATCCTCCCTGCTTTGTTCTATGTAAGGATGAAGGTTCTCAACGAAGGTTCGTTCGCGGCTGTGGTCAAGTCGAACTGGATCGAAATGTCTATTATCCTATTCCTCACTCTCCTATGCCTGCTCCTCATGGGCGCAGGAGGTTATGTGGCAATCGTCACCTTCTAAGGTAGGCAACAGTCGGTGTATTACTTTGACTTTCATGTCTTTTTCATGCTGAGAGGTCCCGCGTGGAGGGGCTGATGTGACGGATGTG